GGACTTGTCGGTGTAAAGCAACACCCATACTATCCCGCTCTAGCCAAGTGCGTAGTCCGGGAGGGGGAGAGTTTAATACGTGAAAACCGATGGGAAACGAGGGCCCAAGGCGGGCCACAAAGTCCGCTGAATGATTTGCTTCCCTATAAACATGAGTGACCCGAACGTCCCAGTCTCTACTCCGGAGTTCGTGGATGGCCTGTACCAGAACTTCATGATCACCAACGTCAATGGTCGAACTAATCGCAAGCTGCTGCGCTGTAAGGCTATCAACTTCGCACTCCACTTGATTTTAAACAAAATTTTGTTACATTTAAAAGTCTTTTTTTTTTCCAAAATAAAAGAGAACATAAATATATATGTAAATTTCAAACCTATATGTATTGTAAAAGTTGGAGCACAACCAGTTCAAGCTCGTACAACTAATTGAGTTTTATTATTAAACGAGACGCAAACAATTCAGTTTCTTTTCGTAGATTTTAAATGAAACTTACGAACCGAATTTGTTTATGAACAACTCGATTTGAGTTTTGGATTTATTAAACGAATCGAATCAAGTTTTCACGAGATCTTTTTTTACTTTGTTTTGATGGATTTTAAATGAAACGGACGAAGCGAATTTGTTCGTGAACAACTCCATGTGAATTTTGGTTTATTAGACGAATTTAATCGAGCTTAAACGAGTCAAACCTAGTAAAACTTTTTTGTTCATTTACTAAAAGAGCTAACTCATGGGCTCACTGACTTAATAAGTATGAATTCAAATATAAATTACTAAAATTCGATTCGATTTGAGCCGGTTCTAGGGGTTCAAAAAAATCGGTTATTCGAGACGAACCAATCGAAACCGAAAATTGGGTTTGGACCGAAACTGAATATTGGGTTCAGTTTTCAGTTCACATTTTTTCTTAAATTTTAAATTTCTGTTCGTCTTGGATAATAATGATCGATTAGTCGAACTGACCTGAAAATCGATCTATATACATATATATATACACACATATAGGTTATAAAAGCATTAATCTGCTTCAATGATTGATTATTTACGAGCTTCAATGACCCGTTTAAATGGCTGAAGCATTAATTTACACTCAAGAGTGACTTCGTCATAGTTCAAGTTATAGTTCGGGATCTTATATATTGTGATAAACCACTAATCATACCATACCAACACTTAAATTTTTAATTAAAAACCGAATCAAATCATAAATTTCAATTCGATCTTCGGTTCTTATACTGGATAAGTTTTGGTTCGATTTCGACCGAATAAAGACAAAACCCAAATGCACACATATCCAATACGCGTCCTTCTCCCAAATTTCAATAGTAGGACCCAATTCACATTTACCCTCCTATTTAAAGCCCCCTTTCTTCCTCCCTCCCTCCCTCCCACAACACACACCAAAAACACTTTCTAATTCCTACTCTACACACTCTACACTCACTTTCTATCTCTCTTTTTTACTACTCTCCTTCATTCCCTCTTTCACTTCCCAATCCTAATATTTCCTAAACCCGAGGTTCATATAGAAACAATAAAAAAAATGGCTTCTTCAATGCCACAATCGAATCTCCTCTCCAGCCCATGGGCCGGAGCCCAACCCTCACAGCAACTGCAATCTCTCTCCCTCCCCAAACTGGGCTTATTTGCCTATCCCAAAAAGCCCACCAAAATAGCCAATTACCCCATCCGCGCCGCCGTCAACTTCAAGTCCCACCCTGCCGCCCTCACATTCCCCCAAAACCTGCCCCTCCTCCCCGCTCGACGATCACCGCCGCCTCCGCCTCCAACGGACGCCCCCTCCGTCTCCTCCCCTCCCCTCTGGAACCCTCTCCAGCGCGCCGCCGCCGCCGCCCTGGACGCCGCCGAGGACGTCGTCCTCTCCCTCGAGCGCCGCCGCTCCCTCCCCAGCACCTCCGACCCCCGCGTCCAGCTCTCCGGCAACTACGCCCCCGTCCCCCCTCTCCCCGTACGCCGCTTCCTCCCCGTCTCCGCCGGCGCCATCCCTTCCTCCCTCCGCGGCGTCTACGTCCGCAACGGCGCCAATCCCCTCCACCGCCCCCTCGCCGGCCACCACCTCTTCGACGGCGACGGCATGGTCCACGCCGTCACTCTCGATGGCCCTTCCAACTCCGCCTCTTATGCCTGCCGCTTCACTGAAACCAGCCGCCTCATCCAAGAACGCAGCCTGGGCCGCCCTGTCTTCCCCAAAGCAATCGGCGAACTCCACGGCCACCTCGGCATTGCCCGTCTCCTCCTCTTCCAAACCCGAGCAGCCCTCCGCCTCGTCGACCCTTCCCACGGCACCGGAGTCGCCAACGCCGGCCTCGTCTTCTTCAACGGCCGCCTCCTCGCCATGTCCGAAGACGACCTCCCTTACCACATCCAAATCACCCCTTCCGGCGACCTCCGCACCGTTGGCCGTTTCGATTTCTCCGGCCAACTCCAAAACTCCATGATCGCGCACCCCAAAATCGACCCCGTCTCCAAAAACCTCTTCTCCCTCAGCTACGACGTCCTCCGACAACCTTACCTCAAATTCTACCAATTCTCCACACACGGCCACAAAATCTCCGACATCGAAATCCCGCTCGACCAACCAACCATGATGCACGACTTCGCCATAACCGAGAACCACGTAATCATTCCCGATCAACAAGTTGTTTTTAAACTCGTCGAGATGCTCAAGGGCGGCTCTCCGATGGTGTACGACGCGAGCAAACGCTCCCGATTCGGAGTCCTTCTGAAATCAGCTAAAAGTTCAGACGAAATCACGTGGATCGACTGCGGCGACACCTTCTGCTTCCACTTATGGAACGCGTGGGAAGAACCCGAAACCGACGAAATCGTCGTGATCGGGTCGTGCATGACACCACCCGACTCGATCTTCAACGAGCACGACGAGCAATTAAAAACCGTCCTCTCCGAAATCCGGCTCGACCTAAAAACCGGCGAGTCCAAGAAACGGCCCATACTCTCAGAAGAGATCAATTTGGAAGCCGGGATGGTTAACCGGAATTGGCTCGGGCGGAAGACCCGGTTCGCCTACCTGGCGATCGTGGACCCGTGGCCCAAAGTCTCGGGTTTCGCTAAGGTCGACCTTTTCACGGGGAAAATCGAGAAGCATTTGTACGGAGGGCAGAGGTACGGAGGAGAGCCGTTTTTCTTGCCGGCCGAGTCGGGAAAAGAGGAGGACGAGGGTTACGTGCTAGCGTTTGTGCACGACGAGGAGGAAAACAGGTCGATGCTACAGATAGTGAATGCCGCCACGCTGGTGGTGGAGGCCGTCGTGCAGCTGCCGTCGAGGGTGCCGTACGGATTTCACGGGACGTTTGTGAGCGCCGACGAGTTGAGGTTTCAAGTTTAGTTGGTTGGTTTGGTTAATTTGAGGAAATTTAATTTATATGTTGTGTAAATTATAAATAATTATATAAGCTAGAAAAAGGTCACCATATTTATGTGGTTAGAATCCCCTTGTAGTAGTGTATATGAGTAAGATAGAGGGGAGGAGTTGCCGGGGGCGGAGGGTGAGTGAGGATTAGAGCGATAGTTGCCGGGATTTCCCTCCGGCCGCCGGAATACTTGTATCTTTGCATTTTACTTATATATATATTTTGAGCTCAGCTGTTTTCTGTTTTGTTTTAGTCCCTGGCTTTTTTTTTTTTCTGTACATTAATCAAGTATGATTATTTGTTCTGAAACGAGTGATATGTTCATAAATACAACCAATTACGGGGAAATTGAGGTTAAAATGTGAATTCACACACCAAAACAGGGACAGGGGTTGGCTCAAGTGGTAAACAGCTTGATGTCACTTAAGCAAGGTCACGGGTTCGAGTCCTTGTGGATGTAGAAAATCCTTGTTGAGAGACTCACCCACCACTGTAGGTGTGCGACTCGGGTCGACCAAAGAATTAGTCGAGGCATAATTTAGGTGGGCCCTGCAACACATTGTTGCACATGTTCATTTTGTAATGAAACATGTTTATTTTTTTGTCCTGGCACACATACGTCAGGCGCACGGTAGTAGCAACACGAGTGATTGTATATAATCATCGTGATTCTCAGGTTATTAAAAATTTAATATGAAAGGGTGGCTACTTTTTTTTTTTTTTTTTT